TTTTTTTATTAAAAAAAATTACAAATCAATGTCAAAATAAGTTAATTTTTAATCAACAATGAATGAATATGTTTTTACAAATTTTTTGTAATTTTGCAAATTTCATTTGTTTAAAAAACATATCTTTTACAAAAAACTTAATAAAAGGAAAAAATATTTTTAGTTTTCAAATAAACATAATTTTTGAATATTATGTTAAAAAAATTAAATTAAGAAACAAATTTTAAAAGATATTGCTGATTTATATTTACAGTGTAATTCTTTCGAACTCGAAACTGTCAATTTACATATATAAATGATTCCAGTGATTCTTAAGCGAACCAAAGGAGATAAAGTTTCTAATTCTTTCGAACTCGAAACTGTCAATTTACATATATAAATGATTCCAGTGATTCTTAAGCGAACCAAAGGAAATATAGTTTCTAATTTTTCAAACTCGAAACTAAGTGTATACATTAACTAGGGTTGCATACAATACTAGGTATTTTTCAACTCTAAACTTTAATTTTGTTTATGAGTTTTAAACCTAGCTAGCTGCAAGTTGCATTTCTGCAAATTATTCTAGCTCTGTTTTCATTGTTTTCCAAAAGCATCAACTTGTTTTGGCTTCAATAGAAGATATGAAAACAAGAACCCTTTTTAATTCTATTTGAAAAATGGGTGAGTCATAACCTTCTACCCATTATTTCTAGGAGGGTGAAAAGGGGGTAACAACCCTTTTTGACCCGGGGTTCTATACACAGCCAAGCCCGGCCCCATTAATAATATTGATTGGGTTCGGTTCAACTGTTTATTTTCCAATAATATTTTCAATAGTCATTCAGCTAAATTTTGAAATATTGAGGCCTAGTATTTTCAGGGTTCAATATCCAATATAGCTAAGCTTATGAAATATTTATTATTCATTAATGTTGTTACATTTATTCACATATTCATAAATGCATACATACTATAATGTGGAGATAACTAGATGGTTTAATGATCAGCCATGGTTCCTTTACAACTTAGTAGCTCTCTCAGTTAGTTTATCCAATCTGAAGTGCAGAACTACTATATTTGCCAATCCATCCATCCTATATTTATCATCTTTATTCCAGGTATGCTGGTCAGCCTGCTCCTGTAATCTGTGGAGCAGCTTCACAACCTGGACATAAATCCTGGAGCAAACCACCTCCCTACTTGCTTTGGATAAAGGCTAAACTCCCGCTCCCAGGCCTTCCTTGCGTCCCATGCATTAACGTTGGGATCTGCAAGGGGCTCTTGGGTGCTTGTGTCCTCCAGAGTAGAGGACACCATACTCTCCAGCTCCTGGTTCAGCTTTGCTAACCTATCCATCACCTCCTGCATGGTTCGCACCAGGACATCAGTATCCTTATCCATATCCTCGTCCTCAACTATGTCCTCAGCTACGTCTCCGACCTCCGAGGCTGGGGCAGTGACAATGGGAGCATTCCCACTGACAAGAGGAGCAAGATCTATAGGATCCACTTCATCTACATCTAAAGCAGCTTCATTGATGTAAGCTGGATTCATCTTCTTCCAAGCAGCTCATTCAGTTAGATTCCCTCTGTATGCTGTGTGTTCGCTGTATGTTGTACAAGTCCCAGAACGATAGTGGCAGGCAGACGTGTAAAGTTACGTGTCTACTCTTCTAAGGTTCGGGCTGTACTGAATCAATCTGGTCTCTCCGATCTCTCATTGTATCTAAGGGACTGTTCACCCTTTTTTGGTTCAGTCCGGAATACAACAGCTGGTAACTATTGTATTGTGGATATCGAGATCAAAGCGTGGTCTAGATCTTCTGTTATTCTCTCTTTGTTACATATCCTGCATGGCAATTGTACCCAGTCAGGGTCTAAGGGTTGAAGGAAGCTGGTCCCAAAACATTTCTGTGGAAAACAAGAACTTGAATCTAGAGAACAAGAATTTTCTAGGGATTTGTACAAAAAAACCAACAAAAAATGTAGATACAGATTACAGAATTAAAAAATGTACACAATTTTTTTTTTGATGGAAATCACAGTTTTTAATTGTGGATTTTGGCCAAATATTTCATTCATTAAAAAAATACCAAAATTCTAAAAATAATTTTAAATATTGAAGAATGATTTGAAACAAATTTTTGTTTGAAACAAACGAAGAAAGGTCTTACCGTCATTCCCTGGGTCTCTATAATATGGGTAAAGAGCCTCTGTTCCATTGCTAAATAATATATTAAATAGGATGGTGATAAAGGAATTGAAATATATGAATTTAATCCGTTGTTCAAAAAAAGGAAATCTACCTAATTCTTGATAAGAACAAAATTTAGAAAGTACCTTTGTAAATAATACATGCCATAGAAGGTCACATCTATGGCATGTCCGATTTACAGTTTATGCATGAGTAAACGTGTATTTCTACCTGACAGTGTTTAAAATATATCTTACATACTCCTCAGATCCATGCAGCAATGAACTCATCCTGAAAAGGATTGTTCTGGAATTTGAAACTATGAATTTTCTGCACTAGAACACCTTATACAACATTAAGCTTTGGTAAATGTTGGCGAAAAAAAAGTAACTTTTGCATTCACATTTGAAACCAAAAGGTGACAAACGTTTTGCTTCAATAAAACGTCATTTAGATAGTTCTGCACGTTCCAATGCATTTCAGTACAAAGAATGTTTTTTGTTAACAAATTGTTTTATCTTATTTTTTTCAATATAAAATCTTACATTTAGAAATTTTACTAAAATGCAACATGTTTTTATGATCTATAGAAACGTTATTGTGATAACTTTTTTTCGTTACACTATTTCACAACTGGCAATCAAAACTGATTATTCGTTTCGTTTATAAAAAAGACAAGAAAATAATGTTCTAAACCGGTATTAAAAATTCAAATGTTCAACCCTTAAGGTTTCTTAAAAATAATATTGCTTCTAAATGAAAGCATTACAAGATTTTTTTCCGTGATATTTGCATTTTTATTTCCATATTTTTCATCCTTAAACATGAACATGTTGATTAATGTTATTATTAAATAGTTTTGAATAATGTTAAAAGTAATTTTTGAGCATAAGACGTTCAACTTAAGTGGCTCGTCTTAAAGGGACTATAAGAGACGTAATTTCAAGTGCCCTTTCATTTAAAGAGCGGCATGTCCGGCTTTCCTTTTCAAGCGAGGAAAGCTGGTATTTTCAAATTATTAATCGGATATAGGTATAAAGGGTACTATTGGGAATTGGGCAAAGCCCGCTTTAAATGGAGGATCACTTGAAATTATCAGCATGTATTTGACGAGCTTAAAAAATAAACAGGTTTCGGGGCACTTCATAAAATGGGTTAAAATTCGGCAAGACATTTTCATGTGGAACAATAGTTTTAAAATATTTTACCTAATGGTTTTTTTTGTTCAAACAAACGGACCCTCCGGTGGATTTTCTTTTGCAATTATTATATATGAAAACGTTACAAAGACTTAATTCCTTTAAAATGTACTATAGCAAAGTGATGACTTAAATGAATATAATCCCTATATCTTTACAACCAGATGGTAAAAAACTTTGAAATTTCAAAGGAACTGAAACTCTATAACCATTCAAATTATCTAATCCCTATATTTTTGCAACCTGATAGTGTAATTTTTTTATATATTTTTTTTTTGATTATTAGTTTGAAATATCGTTGTTGACTTTAAAAGTCACTATAATAAAATAAAAGAGATCCAAATGGATATTTCTAACATTTATTTAATAAAAACGAAAGTTTTGAAATATTTTCCCAAGAATGGGTTAAAATTGGTTGGTTTAGAAATTAACAAAGGAATTAATGATGAATATTTGAGGGTACTTCATGGGAGTGATGTAGAGCTTCATGTTGGTGGAGCAGATCAACAGAAACTGGAACAACAGGGCTTATCCAACCTAGTAGGCAGAGATCGCGGTTTTATCATGACGCGATTGAGCAATTATGTTGTCTCTGGGATGCATGATAAACTGGGAACCCTTCGGGTAAGCACATCTGTTGCTAACTGAGTATCTGTGTCATCATCATAAAGGAGTCAAGAGGCTCCCTGTGTCGGAGCTGTTACTAGCTCAACTCTCCTAACCTGACTGAGGGCTGGGATGTGTAGAGGGGTGAGGCGGGGAATAAAGGAGCGAGGGTGACATGTGGGTGCTTCATGGCGGAAATGGATAAACACGTCTTGAAAATACGCTACGGCATTTGAGTTGGTAAAATCATCTTCCTTATATTTCGAATTTGTGTTAACAATCGTATGTCTGAAACATTGGGTCGAAAGACTAGGGATTAGATAATATGAGTTTGTTACAAACACTAAAATCCGACTTTCTCTAACAGAAGTCCCAAGTTTGAAATATGGAAAGTCTACAACATCAGCTTCGAAAGACATAGAGATTAGATAATTTTAAAGGTTCAGTTCTTTTTTGTGTTGTTTTTTAAATTACTTACAAGGTGAGTAAAAAAAGCGGCATTAGCTTAAGTTTACAAACCACAATGAAAATGTTTTCAGGGTTCATGTTTTGGTTAAAAAATACCAAAATAAAGTAAGACAAATGCTAAATATTTTTTCAACACAAACAACGCAAATTAATGTCGTTTTTCTTTTCCAGAGTTTTCGGGGGTTCCATTGAACAATGGCAAATCAAAAACCTTCAACGTGCCAGAAACATTTATAAGATTTGAATAGGCCCGTTTACAATCTTTATACACCTGCTTATAACAAGTCAAAAGACTTAATTTAGTATCAGGCCTTTTTAGTTTGCACTTTGGAAAGGAGCTGAGTTGTTGTTAAATATTCTAATCACTATATCTTTCCAACCTGATGGTTTAAACCTTTGATATTTCAATGTCAAAGGTCTAAGACATCGTGTTTAAAGATATAGTGATTGAAAATTAGAATTTATGGCATATTCTCATTTCCTTTAAACTTAAAATAAAAAAACAACAATTGGTCTTTGCTGTCATATTCATCAGTCATCTCTTACATTGATAGATGAGGTTTTTAAATGTTTTAACTGGCAGACTTACATCTTTTTAAATGTTTTACACTTTAAATTTAAAAATCCAAATTAAGTGATAAAAAGTTGCCATAATCGTAAGTAAAAGTTGGATAGCACCCGATTAGGCAATACAAAATCTTTGAACATGAAAGCCAAATAATTGCTAATATTCAAGGAAAAAATAGCTTATTTTCAAAAATAAAATCGCTTATTTTGCAGCAGAAAAATATAGCATCCAAATAAGCGACAAAAAATCATTATTTTCAACAAAAAAATCCTATCCCTTCCATTCTCCCTGTACCTCTTCCCCTCTCTGTAACCCTGAAACCCTCAGATATTTAAATTTAATTCGAATCAAAAGTAAAATAGTTTTTTACTTATTGATATTTTTAAATGCAAGATGTCAAAAGAGGGTTAGCGCCTGTCCCCCTACTAATTCTAAGTGCCATATTAACATTAAACTATTGAAATTTTTACTATGTATAACAAACTGTAGTTTCCTTATAATATAATTAATAAACTATTTCTGAAACATTGAACTTTTCATAATAATATTAGGGAAAACGTTACAAAACCTTTTTATAAAAAGAAATTATTTTTTAGTTCTACAAAGTTACACTTTTAAAAATTAAACTTTAAAATAGAAATCCTTTGGTTATGATTTGCAATCAAATCCCAATTGATTTTTCAAACAATAGATTTTCAAGCTCCCATTGAAACTGGGAGTTCAGTAGCTCGGAATAGGGATAGTTCCATTGATGTAACCCCTTCAGTTCTCATACGAACTCGGAGCTAAGCTCAGATTGGATAGTTCTATTTTTGTAATTCCTTTCAGTCCTCATACAGACCCGGAGGTAAGCTCGGATTGCAAGTAGTCCTTCCTATAAGCATTGCAGCTTATTAGCTCTTTTGTATATAGCTTATGGTCATAACAAGTGGGTCGGATGATAAGTCGCCTCATGTATAGGTATTCAGAGTTTGTCTGTTAATAAGTGCATCCATTAATGATGCTTTCAATGTGTGGAATGCTTTTAATGCATGGAGAATACAAGCTGCCGTTAATCTCTCATTTTAAACTCAGGCATATGGGCTTGATGCAGGAGGCAAAAGAAAGAGAGAGGATTTGCCGAGCTGAGGCCGAAATTGAGTTAGTTGTCTCGAGGAATCAATATGAAAAGGTGTAACCAGTCATATGAGGTGGAAGGAAGGCGGAGAATCCGCCAGAGAGCTTATTCAACTCATTAGTATCAAACAACATTTGTTATTTTTAATACTGTAAATACATTTTTTCCTATACTCTGTAGACTTCTTCACATTAGTTTCAGACTTTACATTTTTTTTACTATCGACCACTTTTAAAAGGTATCAGAAACAAATTGTTTCATGGTCAAAAATTTCCCCAGATTCACCAACCGTGGTGACTTTCATTGAGGAATTTCGGAGGAATTTCTCGAGAATCATTTCCTGTAACTGATTCCTCGGAAATTCTCGAGAAATTCCCTAGAATTGGTCCCCAAGATTAGAGATTTTTGGGGGATCACAGTTTTGAGACTCAGTTTCGCTTAACTTTAACGTTGAACTTTCACATTATATAGAATATTTCAAAACATTTCCTGTTAATGTAACGTACAAAAATGTACATTTTAAGTTTGTTACATTATTTTTAACATCTCTAATACACACAAAGGATGAGACTTTAAAGGGACTGTTAAGGTAAAATGAAGGGGGTATAGGTTTAAGCCTACCAATTTTCTAAGTCGATTGCGACCAATATAAGTTCTATGATTCTATCTGATGTCCCTGTCTCGAGAAATTGATATAAAACTGTGGCAAAGTTATACCAAAAATCATATATAAGTAATATAGCCGACGGAGCCATGTGACCACATACTGAACGGTCATTAATGGAAATTCTGGTCATGTGTTACAGGTGAAACATTATCAATTATATCCGTCAAAAATGAATAAGTATTAATTCAAATTATGATATACCTAAAATCATCCTAATTTCAGATTTTTTTCCCTATTTTACCTTGAAAGTTCCTTTTATGACGACCCAAAACTCTATGAATATAACAAATTGAAGACTGGTTCTGTACGTTTGTCTTTAATGCACTCATTAAATGGTATTTGAAATGATTTGGCCCAGTAAGAAAAACAACTTATACAGCTGCACGGAGCCATGATATCAGAATTCTATAGTCGTCTTTGAAGTCCCAGTGTCGTCAGAGAAGTGTAATCTTTAAGAAAATCCATGATTATGTTTGATTTTTTAACTGTTCCTTATTACAATAATAGATCACAGAAGAATTCATTTTGCACTTTTCGTTAAGAACATAAAATATAAAAATACACTTCATTGGGTCTCATTGGGTAAAAGTTGTAAAACGTTTTTGCGCTCATACTAAGAAATTTTACAATGTAAAAACATATTATTGATATTTTGTTATTCCATAGCACCAGGCCCGTAACCAAGGGGGGGTGCAAGGGTGCAGGTGCACCCCCCTTCTTCTGAAAGAGGGGTGAAATGACGAATTTCCCCCCCCCCTAGTCCCATATAAAAGAAATTGTTTTCATAAGTTTCTAAAATCTAGTTATAAATTATATAGCCCGAGTAAGAATTGATTTCCAAACCAAATTATAATCTATTTGTGCGTTACTCATTAAAAGTGTGACGGAGTTTTTGTGTACTCTCTCAACTCATCCCCTGAGTCATGTCTCTCCTGTGACCTATCGCAGGCTAACTAACAGTTGATCAGTACACTCTGTTGATTAAATATAACACAACATAAAAATTTACTCATAGTCATTTAATAGTTGTATAAGTCTAATTAAAACAGTATGATTTATTAATTATATGCAATGGAAATGAAATGGTAATCTCCAGTACACTTTCAGACTTTTAGCCCCCCCCCCACCTTGACGGGTGTGCTATGTTTTATGAGTCTGTTTTTGTGAGGCATTTACGTTGTGAGGCGTTTCCATAGCACCCGGCCCCCTTGACCCTTGAAAAGCTTCTTTTTAAATGAATAAGAAATAAGATCATATCATTTTCATATTGCAAAGTCAAAGTAATAAATGATTACTTGACTCTGTTAGTTAAGCAGTACTCCCTTAAAAGCTCAAATACACTTGTTAAAAAGGTTAGACTTTATAGTGTGCATTGACAATGTAATAAAAACAACCATATACCACTGTAAAACCAAACCAAACATTGTTTAAAAAATCATCAAAAACCCCCCAAAAAAATTTTTCGCCTGCGGAGCGTCAGATTGCACCACCCCTGGTCAAATCCTGGCTACGGGCCTGCATAGCAATGCGCTCTCAGCTCCACTTCCCAACCCACCAGAAAAAAATTTCCTATTTTAATTGTTTAAGTAGCACTAGAAATTTCGAGGAACCATTTTTCTAGCAATTATATCTGCAGCATTTATACCTGGAGTATGCATGGTTAAAAAGAAATGGATCCACTGAAACCACTCTAAAAAAGAATAATTTTTTTAAACATAAAAAGTATTGGGATTATTATTCTTGGCTACCGAGCTTTCTGAAGTGTGGTCTTCCGACGTTTTGAAGGCAAAACAATTGATATCTCAATCAAAGGAATTGAGTCTTTGCCTTTGAGTCTTTATTATCTCAATCAATGGAATTGAGTCTTTGCCACAAATTTAATTTTCTAATCCCCTATATCTTTGCTAACTGGCGGTGAAAACCTTTGATATTTCAAACTATTTTATCAATTCAAAGTTTGAAATATTTAACCTTTCACAATTGGGGGGGGGGTTGTTGTTTTCCACCCCCTCCTGTTTCTTCTGAATAAGTTAAAAACGGCTCACATTAGAACGCTAAAACTTCTTCACTTTTTCAACATATAATAGTTGTATTCATAATTTGCAAGAAAAAATTTTTTGATGCATTGAGTAGGGTGGAGGACGGTCAAACTGCGGGTCGGTGATCAAAAATTAAATCAGAAATGGTTCATAACTAACTGGTAAATAACATGTGTCATATGTTAATATTTGTCAAAAATAAAAAATAATTATTTTTGAACATTTTTTTTACTTTTTAAAAATTTTTTTTACACTCTAACCATTAAAGTTATTTTTTCTTAATAAAAGGTCTTAAAAAGTTGGACTAGGGAAATTTATCACACTCCCCTATCTCAACTCTAAGGGCAAAATCATAGGGGGGG